GTCACCAAGCTACCAGAGTTTATCATCTGCGGCATAAGTCTAAAGTGTACGGAAAAGAATTCACTCCTGGCTGATAAATAGCACGGATTTTTGATGGATCATTCTTGCTTTGCTGATCTCAGTAACTAAAGACTCGCCTACATCTACGGACGCGAACGTTTTTGTGCATGTAGTGGTTGTAGATTCGCAGCATACATTTCATTAGGTTTCTGGTCTTATAATTCTGGTAAAGGTTGAAATTTTAACAATCAATGGGAAGTGGATGATTGAATTAAGGGCTTTCTTGTTGAAGGAAGACAGGTAATGACGGTTAACAGGATACTATCCTGGTGGAAACCACTAAAATATAGTATGATAATAATAAGTATGGACATATTTATTCGCCGGTATATTCTATTGGGAAAATCATTATTTTTTCCGAGTCCGAATAATGTTTCTACGCCAGAAAACTCTCGGTAGTTTTTATTGATCCTTTTGTATATCTACAACCTCGCCTGGTTAACTAGTTCACTAGTTACTAGCCGGTTCTAAACCCGGGTAAAGAGGGAAGGTTGGGCATAGGGCTAGCAACCCTACCCCGGAAAACAAATCTAACCTCTAAAGAAACTTCAAAGCACAAACGAAATATAAAAAATAATAACAAAATTATTCCTCACTGGAATCGGAGAAGCGAAATGACGCCAGTTGGTGAAAGCCTTCGGGAAGCCAATTGGTCGGTGTATCACCTCTATCTCAATGAAAGCGAAAGTAAACGTGGGGACATGGAATGTCCGCACGATGTTCGAACCCAGCTGGCAAGGCAGCCCAGATTACAAACGAGATGAGGAGGTATGACACTGAAGTGCTTGGAATTTACGAAAGCAGATGGAATGGGAGTGGACTCTCCAAACTGTCAACTGGAGAGTCAATAATCTACTCCGATATTGTCACCCAAATGACAACCACGAGCACACTGAGTTTTCGAGTGGTCATTATGATGTCCCCAACAGCATCGAAGGCCCTCATGCAGTGGGAACCAATCTCCTCCTGCAGGATCAGGTTCATGACAGCAAGGTTCAGCTCAAAAGGAAGGAAGGTCACAATCATACATTGCTACACTACGCACCTACAAATAATGCAGATCAAGAGAAGAAGGAGGAGTTATACAGGCAACTTCAATCAACACTAGACAAGACGTCAGTTGGCGATATCAAAATTCTAATGGGTGGGGTGACATGAATGCCAAAGTGGGAGGCGACAACACAGGAAGAGAACTAACCATGGGCCGAGAAGCGCTAGGTGAAATGAACGAGAATGGAGAACTGTTGCAAATTTCTGCGCATTCAATGATTTGGTGATTGGAGTCAGGCAGTGTGTTCAAGCACAAGGATATTCACAAAGCGACATAGATTTCACCAGAAGAAGACACTAAAAATCAGATCGACTTCATCTCAATGTGAAGAAAGTGGAGACGCAGTCTACTGAACACAAGGTCAAGAAGAGGAGCAGATGTAGGTTCAGACCACTCACTGTCTAGTGTAAGAAACCTTCCAAATCAAGTTAAAAGCCTTCAAGGAAGCTGGTGATAGACCTCAATTCAAGTACAACACTCGGAAACTGAAGGACGAAACTACAAAGGAGATCTTCACGGCAGCCATCAAGATAAAATGGGAGATATCGAGAATCCTGTGTGGAAGAACACTGGAACTCTTTGAAAGAGATGTGGAAAGAAACCTGCACAGTCGTATTAGGAAGGAAGAAGAAAGAAGACAAGGAATGGATCTCGACGGATACATGGAAGCTGATAGAGGAGGGAGAGGAGGATGGTGAAGCAGAAGATAAACCAGTGCAACGATGCTCAACGACAAGAGGAACTGAGCACAATGTTTTAAAACACTAGACAAAGAAGTAAAGAAGAGTGCATGCAAAGACAAAAGACACGTCTACGAAACACTGGCAAGTAAAACAGAACAGGCTGCAGGTAAGAGAGACCTGACGACATTGTATCAAATAACCAGGTTGCTATCTGGGAAGAGATCAACACAGACGAAGCCAATAAAAGATGAAGAAGGAAATTTGATTACAAAAGAAGAGAAACAGAGGAAACGATGGGCCGACCACTTCAAGAAGCTCTTGAATCGACCACCACCACCACCTGCACTTCGTCCAGAAATACCACCTACAGCCCCTGAACTACAAGTGAACATAAATCCTCCAACAAAAATGGGAGTCCTCAACGCCATAAAACTACTGAAATATGGGAAAGCAGCAGGACCAGATGGGATCCCCCTCAGAAGCACTGAGAACAGACTAAGAGATAACAGCGGACATGCTCACACCCCTCATGCAGAAGGTGTGGGAGGAAGAGAAGGTACCTGGCGATTGGAAGAAGGGCTACCTCAGTGTTTGCAAGAACTAGTGCGGAATCACTCTTCTGTCCACTCAGAACTAGCAAAATATTAAAACATATCATCCTGGAGAGGCTAAAGGATGCGCTAGATTCAAAACTACGACCGGAACAGGTTGGCTGGCTGGATTCAGGAAGTACAAATCATGTGCCAACCAAATTGCAACTCTACACTACGCATCATCATAGAGCAGAGTATAGAATGGCAATCAGCTCTCTACCTCAACTTTATCGACTTTGAAAAGGCCTTTGACAGCGTTGACCAAGAGGTAATTTTGAAACTGCTTCATTACTACGGAGTACCGCAAACCTGTATCCGTCTCATTCAACAACTATATGAAGACGCCACATTTCAGGTAATTCACAATACAATGGGAAGCTTAGTGATGATTTTGAAGTGAAGACAGGAGTGAAACATGGTTGCCTACTACCCCCCATGCTATTCTTGATTGTGGTCAACTGGATCATGCAGCAAACAGTGAGGAACGAGAAGAGGGGGATACGCTGGCTGGACTGCGGAAAAGAACCTAGAAGACTTGGATTTCACCGATGACTTGTGTCTGATGTCACACAAACTTGGAGATCTACAGGCGAAAACTAACAAGTTGACAGAAAAGGCAGGGCAGCGAAGGGAGACGGGACTTCAAGTGAATATAGAGAAGACAGAAATGATGAAGATACCCCACCACCAACAACAACAAACTCCAAACACCATCAACGAGAGAAACTTAAGGGAAGTAGCCTCCTTCACCTATCTAGGCAGCACTGTTTCAACTACAGGCTGCGCCGGCACAGACTAGGATGTCGAAGTCAGAATCGGAAAAGCAAGACAGACGTTCATTAGCCTGAAACCAGTGTGAAGATCTGCTTCACTGCACTAAGCATGTGGAACAAGATCCGGATTTTCAACACCAACGTCAAATCAGTGCTTTTGTATGGTTCAGAGACTTGGCACGTTACGAAAGGGATTTCCAATAAACTACAGACATTCATCAACAACTGCTTACGCTGACTCGCTGCTGAAGATCAGATGGCCAGAAAGAATAAGCAACAAGGAGCTCTGGGAACGAACCAACCAAGAACCTATCACGCAATAAATATGCAGAAGGAAGTGGAGATGGATTAAATTGGGCATGCATTGAGAAGGCCGACTGGGGACATCACGTGTCAGGCCCTCGAGTGGAATCCCCATGGGAAGCGACGAGTTGGACGTCCCAGCTGAGGGTGACATGGAGGAGATCGTGCGAGGAGGAAATGAGAGCTTTTCGACTGTCGTGGAACCAGGTTCAAAAGATCTCAGAGAACAGAGTGGAATGGAGACGTGCTACTGAAGCCCTATGTTCCACTAGGAACCCAAGGGACTAATAATAATAATAATAATAATAATAATAATAATAATAATCTATATCTACAGCTCTCGTGTTGTTTTTCCCTGTTGGTTGTCTTTCCTTTAGACAAGTTGTTAATCAATATCGTTTTTAAGGACCATAAAAGGATAAATTAGCGTGAAAGCTGTAACTTATCTTTGAACTACTGAGACAGACGTAATCACTTACTCCATACACTGGACATTTTCTCCTCTAGCCAAGGCTAGGAAGAGTTTGATGGAAGTTGTTATTACCCAGTTGTCTACTAAGTGATTAGTGCCAAACATCAGGTATTATTTAAGACCCTCTTCTCTTACTACTGCATGTCAGTGAACTGATTGAAATGGCTATGGAATTCTGTCTTATATCTTTGGATGATGATGCGCTTAAAGGTCTGTCTACAATAATAAGGTTATGCCAGTCATACAAGAAGGCGTTGACACATTCGCTGAATAAATCAGTCGTCAGCCTTTGAAAGCCAACACCAATATTAGTATCATAATGTATACCGATCATGACAACCCACATGACTACACGATATAAAGTAGGCTACTACCAGTTCCAGATTATAAGGACTTAGTAGTCACTCTAAGCCAAACTACTAAAACTATAGGAAACAGTGAAATATCGAATGATCGTGTGGGTCTTGTGTACCCTTCGTGTGTCCTCCCAGTAACTTGATTAGAATATACTCCATGAACTATAGCTGATATGTATCGTGCGTCGTTTTAAATATTAGTTAAAGAGGTTATGCCATTTTTTTTAAAATGAAGGAGATGTTTCATCAAAAGTTTAAAAACTATACGATACGATAGTCAACGGCTTCCTTGGCTTCCCTTACGAAGAGAGCCTACACCATCTTCACATATTTTCATTATCTTACGTTAGGTTGCATCAAGATTACATACTAACCCACAGTTACTAAATAAAGAGGTGGGCTTTGAATCATGTTAACTATCACTTTTCTCTGAAACTAAACGCCCTAAAAGATGCCAATAGAAAGCTAAGAAAGCTTGGTTGGATTTTTTTGTCAAGAAGTTCAATCCCCTCAGCGAACTGTGCAACAATGGATCCATTTGTCAAGGCAAAGTATTTCCACACTCCTCAGTAACATTTAAAGAGGGGCTAGATCTTCGCACAGATAATAATCTGAAGGATTGCCATCAGTCATTCTACCTACAATATTACTTCCTAAAGCAAGTTAACCTTCAGTAAAATGTGTGCTTTTTTACTTATAGGATTGTTTGGTGTAAAACAAAACTATGTCAAACGGTGTATTCAAACAAGTCTTTAAAAATGTGCATATGATTACCAAATGCAAATAATCATGTTGCATATAAAACATGTTGGTTTATCTCAGGTGAGCATTCAGTTCTCCCTATCAAGGTTTGAAACAACATTCTGAAATTGGTTAATTAGCAAGCTTTTTTTATTTCTTAGCTTTGATTCGAGTGATTTTGCCCTGCTGCATATATTTTTGATGTCTTTCAAAAGATTCTCCTCAGTTTGAGTATGTTCTCTGCGAATAAATAAATTATAACTTATTTATGACTACTTACTCAAAACTGACGATTGCGCTCTTCAACGCTTCTAGTATACTGTCAATCTTATCTGTTCAAAAATCAAAATGAGCTTTTATTTGGATAAAAACCTCTTCCACTTTGTTCTGGACCTATCATAGCATTATCACTTCGTGAAGTCAAAGATGGCGATATCTGTGATATACTCGAGCTTCTTCCATTTTCTCGACTTTCGTCGTTACTGAAATCAATAACACTGAACTCATCACTTTCTTCAGGCGAGTAACTAGTAGTGAAGTATTCATACAGTTTAAAATAAATTGGTTCAAACCTTCGTTCCATACTACTGCGATAACACAAATGAAATTTAATTTACTATCAGTGGTTCAATATCGAAATAGATACATGAGCACATACAAACAAACCTTCCTTAAGGAAAATGCTGTTAGAGTACTTTTGGTTTACTTTAACAATACTTGACGGCTGATTTTTTCAAACAATGATTATTTTCTCTTCATATACACTACTCTTTACAAGAAAAGCAGACATCAAAAACCTACCCCTATATTTAGCACTAACAGGTAAAAAATTATGTAGATCATTGAATACCCTTGCCATTTGTCTTCTCAGCGGCCACTCGGCATATCGGTCTTAAGTAGAAACGTTATTTCCGGGTGAAGCGCCCGAAATTACCTGTCCTTTAATGCCTGCTCTATGAATTTTGTGTGTGACTGTCAATGTGTACAAAGAGGATACTACTAGGGAGAATGACAATGAGCTAATGCCTTTCACAGAATTAAAGACCCCTTCTGAACCTGTGGAAATTTCCCAGCTGATATTTGTGCATTTCATATATCTATAATTGATTTGGATTCATCAGCAGGTGGAGCCGAGAGTTTGTCTGAAAGTTTCGAAAGATTGAAGATGGATCGTATTTTTATATAACGTGATGAAGGAAAACTACCAGTAAAACTCCAACTTGCGTTGTGTCAAGTGAGTGACTAAAACAGAGAATGAACACAATGGTGAAAATGGAGTGGGTATTGTGTTTTAAAACTGCAATATGTGAGTCCATCCTAAGAGTACTTTAAGAGGCGTAAAAATAATATTAGTAGCGGACGAACTTTTTCAAAAGGCGCGACAGAACTCCGTAATTCTGGTAGGTTAGGACACGGAAGATGAAGGACAAGGTAGCCAGAGTTATTGTAAAAAGGACAGACGGAGCGAGTGCTCCAAAAATGGGGATTTTTAAGTAAGATGTGGTGTTATGCGGATGTTCGAATTCTAGAGGAAGAGTAGAAGCTTGGTTGATCTCATGGCCCCAGCTTCATCTAAATCGGGGATATGTAACGAGTGACAGGTGCTACAATTTTGGGAAGTGGTCATCTTTGACTACACGTGGGACCGTGATCTCTAAGTGTTCAATTTCATATAGTGCACGATGAGTAGATTCATGATTTTCATTCCTCCGTTCCCACCAACATCTTACATTTCGCACCAGCTTCCGTTTTCCGATAGATTGGAGTAGTTAAAGGGTGAATCAGCTGACTTCTGGCAGAAACATTCAGGTTCGTTTACCAAGCGGACACGTCAGTTTCCCATCTAAAACACTTATCTTGAAATTATTATTCGATTAATGTCCATTGGGACCGTTTAGACACTGACAAAATTCTCCGTCAATACTTAGGTTTCAGTAACGTCACGGCTTAGATAGTGCACCGTTGTAATGAGAACTTTCAGGGGTAAAAGCCAATTTAAAAAGAAAGTAGATAGACAGCGTGTGAAAGGGAGGAGACGGACACTTCTACCTTGGTACTGGTCATGGAGTTGGGCCCAAATGAGCGGTTTTCCGTTGTATTGTTGTTGCTAGAGTTATTCACAATGATAACAATGATAACAACACTAGCATTTGTGTTTTTCCGTTTCTCAATAGGTGATTCAAAGTTGATTTTGTAGATACGGGTTTCAAAGCGTTGACAAAAATATGAAAAGTCAACCTGTGTTTCCCGCATGAAGACAAAGTGATGAGTTCGTGAAATTTGCTTCCAACAGGTGCTCATCTTAGGCTGTAGAAACCACTGCACATTTCAGATTTACAGGCCAGCTCTTGGGAGTGTTCACATATCTGCTGGAGGCATCAAGCTGGACAAAGACTTAAGCGGTTGTACATTAAGACGAATCAGTTGGCGCAATAGAAGTCACATATCAAATGATTTCGACTACCTTGAGATGATCTATCGGTGTGAGTTGTCATCAGAGCCAGAAGAGCTAAAATCAGCCCGACTGGAACTAATTTGCGCCCAGCTTCTCTTTCAATGTCGCGGAAGATCACTTACCTTGCCACATGTATCATTTTCCAGTGAAACAAAACGCCACTTCAAAATGTGTATTCCATCCCTGGGGTAACTGAAACAGTCCAGGTTGAAGGGTGCTGACGTTATGTCACGTGACATCCAGCAGCAGCTTTCAAAAATACAGACGGCGTTTGCTCCACAACATCACACTTTGGGATCCAGCGTATATTTTCACACCTATCTTAAGCAATGAAGTGGGAATATGGAGGAATACAACTGGCAGTGTCAACAGTTGGTTCCTCTGGACTTCTCAGATAATTCATCCAGCATGGTTCAACTTGTCTCGTGCCAATTAGAAAAGAGCTCACAGCATGGTAAGGCCTATGAAACAGTCCCCGAATGTAGTTCATTGTGAGGGCTAGAGCATCGAAGCTGTCGTTGTAGAGAAATTTATTACCGTAAGCAAACACAGAAAGGTCTTTGTGACGTAGGCTTTTATAGTCACATTAAATTAAGCTATTAAGCAATCACCCGCAGTCACGTGTGAAACTACTCCAAGACTTCCTTTGTTATTGTTTTCATCCCCGGATATTTGTATCAAATCAAAAATGTCTGGGGGATTAATGAACGCTGCTGCAACTATTTAACGTCTGTAGCTTTCTGCACCTAAAAGACCTAGCATACAATATTTGTGTATAGCTTACTAAGAAGATAATGTAGCACTTGGTAGCATGGCTCACGGACACATGAAAAGGATCGCTTGAGCTTTTGCAACGGCTTAAGGAAGTGTCGGGCTTAAAGTACTTCAAAATGTTGCCTAGAGTGGAAATACGTGACATTCATTGGTTAATAGGTGGAGGCACATGGCATAGGAAGAAGTCTTGGAAATTTAGCTGTTGTGAAAGAATGGCCTGTGCCGACATGCGTAGAGGAACTTCGCAAGTTTTATTGTCAGCAGCCTACTTCCACTGCTTTTTAAAGACCAGTGCAAATATCCTTCATGCATCGACTTTATATTACGCACTAAGACCAGCTCTCTCCCTCTATGCATATACATACATATATGTGTACAACGAAATCCTCTCGCTTTCATTTGTTGCTGCTCATCCACAAATACACTTCCATACTTCAGATCTTAAAGCTGTTACTGATGTGGTACGTTAGGATATTTACCGAAAGTAGTTATCTATACTGTGGTAACTTTTATCAGGAGTAGGTCTGTTTAAAGAAAGAGAAAACGTAGGCCCTTGGCACAGGGACAGTCGTATTTTTTTGCGAAATACCTTTGAAATAATCATTACTCAGTGACTAGCATATCATAAAAGGAAGTCGGAGGCTGGTTTCCAACGGATCTGATGTGAACAAATTAGATCCGCCCTGATCTGATGGACAGCACAGCGATTCCTGTCCATGAGTAAAATGGTAGAAACTGAAAAGCAAAAACCACAAATACGAAACGTGAAAAAAGCTTCCTCTTTAAAAAGGAAAAGTCTCCAGGTGAAAAATCTATCTGATAGCTGATGTCTCCTGATGCGAGCACATGGTATGAGTTTGCTACCTTCGCCAGACGCCTGAATGCATACGTCAGTACAGTGTGAACATGTGTTACAAATGCATATGTGGTAAATCTTACTGCGACTGAGTGCTAATGTGCAACCCTACCAAAAAATGTTGCTGCCATTTTGCTCATAAATTGGCGTGACCTACGAAATTATAATAATTGTTAATTTCTGTGGAATGCTGTGTTGACACCAGTGGATCCGCTATTTCCATCCAATCACGAAGCTATATGCTCAAAAACTACCACCACCACTACCACCACAAATATGTTATGCCTACCAGTGATTGCGCATACAGCGAACTTTCTGTGCGGTCAAACTGTTACTATTCGGTTGCTTTCAAGCTGTTTATGCCAGAAAACACTTGAATTTTACGGGTTCTTAAGTTTTTATGTTCGTACTGAGTTCTAAGTACCACTTGCATTTTTGTTATATGGGTAGTGAATCTTCAGCGCTAAATTGTCAATTTCCCCTAGTCAGTTTGCACTTAGATCTGCTAGCTGTTTCAAAAGTACGACTTAATGATTTCTTAATGACCACAAAGTCTGACCAGACCATTAAAGTAATGCAGATATTCTCCGCTTTGACCCTATGGCATTCAATTATCCAGACAATCTTCGATAAGTCTTAAGGTGTGCATCTTTATTATATCTGCCTTTAAAACGAATTATTTCAGGCCAGACATGTTACAGTTTTTCTACGCCTCTCTCTTTTGGGAAATGCAAAAGAGATTCATCCCCGTGAAAAATTGTTATGTGTAGAAACCTTGGATATCCCCTTTCCTATTCATTTCTGTGCATTAATTCTACCTTTACGGACCCACCGATTATCTTTGGTTAGTGAAACTTTACCAGCCAAAAGTATGAAACTAGTTTAAGTATATAATCACGTCTGCCAACTGGTATATACATGTATTTGCAAGAATATTTCACTGTTATTATTGCCTTTATGGTAAGCCAAAAGGTTACACTCATTTAATCAATCGATTGATTGAATGCCTTTGCACACCAAAAGCACTTCTTGGCCCAGGAGCCTGTTTACAGATGTGGTTGTTATGTTTATTGGCAAAAAATCTTCGACAATGTTGTTCAGCGCCTCTTCTCCATCCCAGGCATTGGGAAAGAAACTTTTCATCACGCGCAAATGCCACATGGTAAGTTACGCATTGAGTTTTAGCCTTAATTTATGGGTTTGAGGTCTTCCGGCGGAAATGAAAATCTCGTTTTGTGAGTATGTAAAGGCGTCGTGCAGGAAATAAAAGTAAGTCTACAGGGTCATCCTGAAGGAAGTGATGTTGGCAGAACCCCTGGGGGTCTTCATTCAATAACAATAACATGCGTGAGTAATTTTCTATGTAAACTACGTGTCTCCTAGAGGCAGGTGATCTCACTCCTCACCTAGTCAATCAGTGGGAGAAACGTTCGTTGCTTGTTGACAAAGTGAAACAAGACTTCAGAAAAGCATGCACAGATGGAAAAGATAGACAAGTAGAAGCACTGTCTTCGTGCTAGCGAAAACAATAGGATCTTTATTTGATTATTGCTTGTTTTGCCTGGGGAAAAATAAGG